GTCCATCATCATCATACACATTGTAGCCTATATTATAGGCATACTTAGACCTATACTAACTATTAAACTAGACATTGTACTGGGACAGATAAAATGACTAAGTTAATAGATCTAGATATAACCCTGTCTGCCTCATCAATTCTAGATTTAGAATTATTAGGCCTAACTTTTAGAACAAATGTTGCATCTAGATCTATTAACTTAGTCATTAGATCTGTCCCAGTGCAATGCCTAGTTTAATAGTTAGTATAGGTCTAAGTATGCCTATAATATAGGCTACAATGTGTATGATGATGGACCTAGGGTCTAGAAATAGAGCTATAACTGCAACTAGACCTAAAGTCTAGTACATTAGTTGGTGTAAGTCATTGCATTCATTACCATTCTATATTTTTAGTTAGTTGTTTGAAAATGATCAATTTTTGTTGACCATTGAAGACTATGGGGTGGCTTTATCCTCTACCTTCCTTTTTCCACATGCCCGCCCTGTTTTTTCCTCTCATATCATATCCCTCTTGTTTGATCCTTTTCATCTCCTCCATTTCACCTTGTTTTCTGCTACTTTAGGAATGGGATTTCAATGTCATTCTCCATGTCCTTATTCAGTCTCCTTTTAAACCATTGGCTACCTGTTTATTGTCCCATATACTTAACTCCTTTTTTGGCAGTGGTTGTCGGAGGTTGCCTCAGAGGCTGAATTTGCAGGGGACCAGGGGCAGACTGGTGAGAGTTTGGATTGTATTTTTCTGGCTCCTTCCTTTGCTCAGACAGTCATTTCTTCTCCTGCACCATTTTTGGACTTAGTACATCAAGTTTGTAAAGTCTTGAGCATGTCTTCTATGGCTTATGATTATTTTTCTTTTTTGTTGAGGGAAAAGTCAATTGTCTGATTACCTAGTTTTTCCACTTTCGCCATACATTTTTGTGCATACTCTGAGACTTGCTGATCATTTGAGAGAAGTTGCTGCCATGCCCTATTTGGGGTTCCAGGCTTGATGCCACTATGTGCCTTAACCTTACACAGTTTTCCAGAATTGTCTGGCCCTTACAACATTTTTGAATTTTATTTTATCTTCTTTGCAACTGTAGTCTGAGGCATATTATTGGTCCCCCTCAATTTTAAGAGGATCTGAATCATTTGTTGACTTGTACTTTAGTATGGTTATCAGCTTAGGCTCTCTCCTTGTTCTCTTGGTTGGTTTGTTGCTGGGATCTTTTGGAAAGGGATGGATTGCTTGAGAACATTTTTCTTTTTTTTAGCTCTGAGAGATCTCAGAGAAGCTCCTTTTCTCAGACATTTAATTTTTACAGTATTTCAGATTCCATGGGATCTTGGATAAATGTGGCCTGTCTCCACTGTTCTCTTTTGATACTGGCCTCTCACCTTTCCCAGTCTTCTACTTCTACTTCTTTCAGGTTATCCATAATTGATGTCCTTTCCATGTTCCTAATTGGGGGTTCTCTATGCCTTATTTCATCCACTCTTTGAACCCTTGGCATCATGTTCTCTTTATCAGCTATTGCTTAAGGCATATCTTTTTCTCTTGTTGGCTAGCAGATGTTGATGTTCAGACATGTTTGCAGTTCATGTTCACAGGACTCTTTACCAGTCCACTTATTTTCTGTTGTATCCTGATAGGTCCTTTCTTCTCAAAACTTCAGATGCTAGTAAAGGGGATAAGGCTTTTGCTTCTGTCCATCTTCCTTCCATTTCTCACTTTTATGAACCCTTAGATCTCGATAGCCTTTTTTGCCCGGTTCAAGCTCTTCAATGTTATGTTGCGTGCACTGAAGGGTTTAGGGGTTCACATCACTATTTGTTTATCCATTGGTTTCCTCAGATGTCATGTGACTTATC